ACAAAAAACCCAATAAACCAAAACTTGCCTGCAACAGAAAAATCTCTGCTTTTCCAACTCTCCTGCCTTTCCATCACCTCTTATCCGTCCAGATGGCATTGGAGGCTTCGGTGTGTCATATAGCATACCCCCTTGTCCCATCAGCTTGACTGGCAACTGTCCATTGCAGTGAGTCATTGGTCTGGTTCAAGGCCTCTGGTTTTTGGTAGACCATCCTCACTGGATCCTCACCGAAGCTCCTCTGGGGGTATCTTGTGTCTTGGAGATCTTGCAGGTATCCTCCCGCAGGACCAGGCCCTTCAGGAGCTCCAGCAGGATCTAGATGGGATAGATGCTAGGGTGGGTCAACCAAAGCCCAGCTGTGGGCCTGGGTGTTAGCCAGTCAGGTCAGATGAACCACTGGGGCCGCCTGCCTCTGGCGTAAGGGTGGAGGCAGCTCCCCTACATGCATGCCCTCAGGGTAGGTTCATCCTTGCCTGTGGTGAGGGGTGGGGGCCCTCTCTCCCCAGCTCTCTTGCTAGAGTGGCCATCTAGAGGCAAGGGCAGCTTTCCCAGGGCAGTGAAGGGTGGGACAGGCTCAGTATAGCCCTCAGTATAGTGAGTGGTGGAACCTGGACTGCAGGTCGCCATTTCTACATTCCTCAAATGTCTAGAGTCATTTGAATTCAGTCACTTTTTGACAAAACCCATTGTGCCACACTGAAAGTTCCCGACCTGCTCCCAACAATGTGTGTGAAGAGATCAGACTAATGGAAAGCCCCTTTGGTTCACTCGAATCCTGAACTCAGGGTACAAAGAATCAGAGCAGTAACTGTGGCTTCCCGAGTGGCTGAGCTGTCTGGGCCTGGTCTTATAATCACTTGTCCTTTGGTATCATTTAAGGTCAGTGTAGGTGGGAGGGTAGGCATTTTGACTGTGGGAGACCTGCCTCTGTCTCTATCCTTGCCCTGCCAGCTCTCAGTGCCCTTTGGAAGTTTATAGTCGTATAAATCGCAGAGTCCCATACCAGGCTTGGAGCCTGTGACTATAAATAGACATGAGGTAAACAAGGTGGCAGATGCAGGGGCTTGGGACAAGACAGAAAATCTGCCCCTCTTTGCTTGGTCAGGGGCCAAGGCACATCCGAGGAAAAGGATATCCTTCACCTTCACCTCGCCTCTCTCACCTCCCTTCCCCTGAGCGCTGGCTTCCGGCTGCCCCTCATCTGGGCTTCTAGTGTTTTCCCTCTGGGGAGTATCATCCAAGGTGATTTTCTGCTCCAAGTCTCCCTACTGGCTTGTTCTGCTTCATCTTGCCAAGTTAAGATGGGGGAGGGGTGTCTCCATTACTCTCACTGCCCCCTCCCCCCACTGGCTCCTTCCACCTGTCTCCAGTCCCAGAACAAGTGTTGCTTCTGCTAACCACAACTCTGCCACCAGGGGTGCCCTGATCTCACCTCCACCCTAACAGCTGAAATGATGCTAATGCTTTCAATAAGGCAACTTACTAAGAAACTAGAAAAAAGGAAGCAAAGAACCACTCCTTCTATCCCATCTCCCTTGCCCGTGCACAGATTTCCCATCACTGGGATTGACTGGCAGCTCCCTTGCTAGTTGGAGTTTCTTCCCATCATCCTGGGCTTTGCAAGCTGGATCCTGGGGCATAGACAATTTAGGTGGCTTTGCTTGCTGGATCTATCCTGCCTTCCTGCAGTCCCACAGCTGGGCTGATTTACTGCTGTGTGCTTGTCCTGGTCACAGCAGTTCTTAGACTCCAAGCATCCCTGGAGGGATTTCAGGCCCTACTGAATTTCAGTACCACAATTAACTCTCTTTACCCATTTTGGAAGTCTGAATATTCAGTCCTGAAATAGTCTAGCTCTGTAAACATACTATAGACATTAGAACTGGCCTGTGCTGTTTTCTCTTTCCAGGTGAAGAAACTGAAAGCACAGAGAGGCTAGGTGCCAATCACAGCAAAACAGCCAATAACAGCCTTGATGCTGAAGTGGGGAGTACCCCTCTCTAAAGCTTGGATCTTCATCCGGACCTTCAACCTTCCAGTTCCTGGCAACTTTCCTTCACCCCCAGAAACACGCTGGCTGCCTTTGTAGGTCCCTTCTTCTTTGAACCAGGTCTCCAGCCAGCCTCTCACGCAGGCAAAGGAAACAGAGAAGCAATGGCTGACTTTATGTGGCTCTGCTTCCAGTTCCTTCCAGCACCTATTCCCCAAATCATCCAATGGCTTACTGGGCAGATGATCCTGAATGACATCCTGGAAGTTTGTCTTCATAAGGCCTGGAGGAGTGGGAGGCATCCTTCCACTGTGGGAAGCCACCTCTCTGACTACTCTTTCTCTCCCAAAATGTCAAGTTCTTAATTTGTTTATTTGGGCACAGGATTTCATGTAGTCTGGGCCAGCCTCAAAATCAGTATACACCCAAGGATAACCTTGAAATTCTGTTCCTCCTGCCTTCCCGAGATCAACAAATATGCACGTGTGGTGCTAGCATCCACCCCAGGTCTTCATGTATGCTAGCCAAACTCTCTATGAACTAAGTTACAGTTCCAACCTCAGTTTCCTATTTTGGATGGCAGGGCAGAACCAAAACTGCTTTATAATGACATCCCCTGTGTCCTAGATGTGCAGGACCCCCATGTGCACACGTGTGCACACAATCATCACACACATACACCTATGCTCTCTGCACCTGGCTGCTTGAGAGATCTTAGTCTGTTCCTGCTGCTACAACAAAATATAAATAACTGAAGAGTATTCCCCACACTTTTGGAGGATAGCAAAGTCCAGGATCAAGTAGCCAGAAGACTTGGGGTCTGGTGAAGGCTCTCTTTCTGCTTCATAGATGATACTTCTTGCTGCACCCTCTTATGGTAGGTGGAGAGAGGGACAAATAGGCTTCCCCAAGCCCTTTTAAAAGGACATTAACTCCATTAAGTCCTCATGACATAGTCACATGCCTTACAGGCATCTCTTAATACCACTGCAATGAAGGTTAAGTTTCAACAAGGATTTTGGAGGGGCACATACATTCATCCCATAGCAGCCTCCTAAATTAGAAGCAAAGCCAGACTCTCAGAGTCCATATGTCAAATGCGTCAGAGGAAGAGAAAATAAGTACCGTGTGGTGTGGGGGGCTGGAGGGTGAGAACACTTCAACGTGGTTCTCTGAGGGCAGAGGCTAGAGCGAGGTACAAGTAATGAAGGCAAGGAGAAAGGCCTCGCTCCGGAGAGCTGGGAAGAAACTCCTTTCTGCTGAGTTGTCAGATGGATGTAGTCTTTAGAGAAGAGGGAAGATGCTGACAGGTGGGGAAGAGTTCAGAGAAGGAGTCTAGTTACCCCAGACTCCTCCCATCCTACAGCTGGACTGGAGTTTCCAGAATGCCATCTGGGAGTGCCTGGGATGTGTGGGAGCAGCTGGGAGGATGGCTATGATCCATCCTGCACCTGTCCTGCCCCAAAGCCGATGATGTAACAGCACAAGGATGTGGCAGAGAACAGTGGGCTCTTGGGTGTTGCTCTGAAGGGGGGGCAGATTGGTCCAGTTTTCAGTGGTGTGGCTACGATAAGGCAGCTGTTGTCTGTCCTGTGCTCAGAGGGGATCCTTCAGTGAGCAGTCTGCATCAGGACCCACCACGAAATTCCAGTCCTTCGGCCAAGAGCTCAAACCAAACTATCTTCTCCTAAGGAACAGCACTGACCTACAGCTACACAGACCCATTGGGGGGAAGCCCCCCCATGACTGGAAGGGGTCCTTCAGCTGCTGAAGACTCTTGGGTCTAAACACCCCTCCCCCAGACTTCTACTTCGTCCTAGTCCTACCTTCCCACTATAGATTATATCTCAAGAGCCCCGGAAGGCTGATGTATTAAAGATTTAGCCCCAGGAGCCAGTGGACTTGGGGGTCCTTGACTCCAAGGGAGATTGCTTTTTCTTTTTTTCTCCATCTCCTCCTCTTGTTCTTCCTCCTTCTCATCCCCCATCCTCTTTGTTCCATTCTTTCTTCCTTTTTGCTTGGACTTGCACCCAGAGCCTTCCATAATCTGGACAAGCATTTTACCTCCAGGTCCTCATTTCTTCTTGCTTCCCAACTATGACATAAGTGGTTTTGCTTTTCCACAGATGCCTGCTGTAGTTTCCTGTACTGCTATGGGCTCAAAACAAAAGACCTAATTGATCACGAACTGGACTGTCCAAAACTGTAAGCCAAGGTGAATTTCTTCCCTTTACATTGGGGTTCTTCTGGTGTCTCCACCGCCCTCATGCCTTCCATTTCAGCCTCCTTCAACACACTCTCCACGCGGGGACCCTCTTCCCACTGTATGCTAGGGACCTTGATGATCCATCAGTTTAGCCTTGCAGAGACTCTCACCTTGGGTGTGAACTAGCCCACAGATACAGTGACTTTGTGTAACTAAGCATTCTCAGACATTCTGCTACTGGGGTCGGAAGGTAAGACTGGAGAGAGGTTAACAGTTTCCTCCCTTCTTTCAAGTTCCCATCTCAACACCACTTTCCCCACTGTTTCTTTCTTTTTTCTCTAACCTGAGCTCCCACAGTGTCATTCTCTAAGCAGACAGAAGGCAACAGCCTAACCCATTTACTCTGGCACCCCAACACAATACTCAGAGGTAAAGTTTCCATATGTATTTCCTGAGGGAGTCAGCCCTCAAGCTTCTCCAGTCTTTTTCCTTCCTCTCTTCTCAGTATTCCGTCTTGCCAAGTCCTGACAAAGACACTTGTATTCCCAAGACAGCTTTGGAAGAGCTGTAGAGAGGATTAACCTCTTTCTGTCCCAGATGATGAGGGGCCTGGCAAGAATGTTCAGGTCTGGGACCCAGAGCAGAGCACAAGGCCTGCCTGCCTCCTCTGAACCTGGGGGTGGTGCAGGTAGATTAGATGCCTGGCCTCACTTATCCCTCCCGCCAAGGCCTCCTCGCCTGTATTTATATACACTAAAGCCTCTGCCCGAATAAAACATCCATGTAAAATCCAATTTCCTTAGAATCCCTTTTGGAGCCGGGGCCTGAGATGGAGTAGGTAACCCCGGCGGTTACCGCCTGAACCACTCCTGCGGGCTGCAAAGGTGAGGCCCATTTTTCAATTATCTATCTGCTGTGACAGCAGCGGTCCAGCCATCGAGCCAAGGCAGGGGGGAGGGGAGGAGGAGCTGGGAAGGCAGGAGAAGGAGGGCAAAAGCGTAGAGGGGGAAGAGAGGGATAAACCTAGGCAGACTCATGGGAGAGACCCTTGAGAGAGGCACCCAGTAGGTACTAGAATTATTTGGAAAATGAATGGTCAGAAGAGAGAACAGGCAGGGTGGGGGTAAGACGAGGAGAGGGGGAGAGCTGGAGAGACACAGAGTGGGTGGAGAGAGGGTGGGAAGGGGGAGAGGGGGAGGGGAAGCAAGCGTGGATGGAGCCAACAAGAGGCTCCTGTGTCAATCCGTGGAAACGGGAGGCAGAGTGATGCGGTCACAGCTCCTGCCATCAATATCCTCTAATATAAATGTCAGTGATGCTATTTTCCGCGCAGTCATTTCGCACACTGCTGATTACATTAACGTATAATGGAGGGGCGCCGG